CCTGTCTTTACTGACATCATGAGCCTCTGAATGAAATCTGTTACTTGATGCAGGGATCAATAATGTGAGCTATAACCCACCCCGCCCTGCCCTCCCCATTTCAGCCAACTGTTGGGCCTACGAACAGGAAGCAGGGCATTAATGTGCACAGTTCAGTGACATCCAGTGTTTTCTGATGTTAAGTGCTCATGTAAAATGCATAAGGCTTAACACTGGGGTAAAAGGTGCTTTCTGCAGGAGGTTGTGGTCAACTCCCAGCATTTCACAGCCTAGCCAGTGGTGTCTGCATAATGAAGACTAATGTGGAATAGCTACCACCATCTTGTCCACACAGTGTATTAAAGGGCTGACTGCTCTGCTTAGTTAAACAAACAGGGAGTTGTTACAAAGCCCGGAGGAGCAATTAGAAAAATGCTCCAGCATCAGATGAAGTGTTAACCACAGTGTCCGGGACAAATTCCAACTCAAGTAATGACATGCTATCTAAATCCCCACTGCCTTTCCCCCCTTCCCCTTTTGAGGGAATCGGGCTTGTGGTTAAAAACACCAAACCATGTGTAAAGAGATCTGGGGTCTATTCCTAACTTGGCCACTAGCTTCTTGGCTGACCTTGGAAAAACTGCAACCAGTGATTGTCCGGGCCAGCCTGTGCAAAACGTATCATGTGGTGAATATCCAGAATACATGCCACAGCATCAGTGTGACAGGTCCATTGCTGAGGCTCCTTTCTGTTAATGGCTGTTCTAGTGTTTGCTGTTCTGTGTATAGGCATCTCTGTCAATTGAATATTAATGCTTCTGGCTCACAAAAGTCTATAATATTTATTTATTTATTTAAATTTGGTTTATAGACCGCCCTCCCCCACACAGTGGGCTCAGGGTGGTGAACAACAATTTCAGTAAACATATTTTAGTCTTTAAGATGCTTGAATAATAATTGCTAACTGGTTGCGTACTGATGCAAACAGATGGCTTCTTCTGCACATGTCAAATGTTACACAACTCCACTCAGCTTACATTCATAGCATGTGCGTTTGGCCTTGGAAATAGGTGTGCAGGACAGGTTATTATTGGAAAGAGGAAGAGCCCAGCTGGATCAAACCAGTGGTCCATCTAGACTAGCACTAGAGAGCTGGTGATGAGCTGGTGTTGATCCTGAGCAAAATGAATTTCAGACCCAAAAGTGTCCAGCAGAAATGGTGACTTTTGATGAGACTGCTCTGATGGAGCACCAAGCCATTCTTGGAACATTTTAACTGTGATTAGTCACAAGCGTTTGGAAAGTACCTCTTAATATTGGGAGAAGACTTTTTAGGTTCAGGCAAGGATCTTGTCCAAATGGATTTTTACAACAAAAGACTCCCTCCCTCTAGACGAGCCTGGCTGTATGGCGCTGCAGAATACTGTGATTTCAGGGAGAACATGGACTTCTGGACTTTTTATCTTATTTTGATTTATTCTTCCAGTGGATTTGGGAGGATTTGTGGATTCAGCTGAAGGAGCCCATAGCTTGCAGAAAAACTGGCTGAGATGCCAAGAGCACTCAGGTTATTGATGTGTCAGAAAACATGTAAGTAAACTATGTGGATCTCACAAATAATTGGTGGAAGGCTAGAACTGTGGGCAGTAAAGTTTCTCTCCTTTGCCAGTTTTTCATGAGTGTCATAATGGTTCAGCTCCCCAATGCCCATTCTGCCTTCTGGTGAGGCCTGGAATTTAAGCTTTGATAAACACTCATGTACCATTTGCTATCCCATATTATTATTTCCTGCAGCCATAGATATGTCTTTGTTTTCTTACTTCTTTGCTTTCCCCCCATTTATTCATATACCAGGAATAAGGCCCGTTGTGGAAATAAATACAAGCTCTAGAAAGAGGCTCTGGATGGGTGCACTCAGCATTGATTTGCTGTGGCAACCTCAGCAGGGTATAATGACACAGAGTCCACCATTTTCTTCAGGGGAACTAATCTCTGCCATCTGAAGAGCAGTTGTAATTCTGGGTGATCTCCAGCCCTCAACTGGAGACTGGCAACAATGGTTCCCCAGGAGGAAATGACTGGTTTGAAGGGTGGAGTCTATGGCATTGTACCTGTTTGATGTCCTACCCCTCCTCAAACCCCACCCTTCAAATCTCCAGGATTATCCCAATCTGGAGTTGGCAACTCTATCTCCCTCCCAACCAACCATCAACGTACCATTATCTGCCCCTCTGACTTCAGGTTTCCATCTCCTCCCCCCTCCCTGCAAGACTCTACATATGAAGAGTACAGTCTTTCTCTGCAGTGGGGACCAAAGCAGTTTACATCATTCCACCTTTTGATCTGCACAACAACTGTGAGGTAGTTGCAGCTGAAAGTTTGTCAGTGGTCTAAAATCACCCACTCAGCTTCCACAGCAAGAACCTGGGTCTGGCAGACCCTGCTCTGAAGCGCTAACTGCTACACCACACTGGCTGTGGTATCGCTTGGTATCATAACTGAACTCCAGACAACAGATCTCTCTCTCCCCCTGGAGAAAATAACAGCTTTGGAAGGTGGACCCTATGGCATTCTATTCAGCCGAGGCCTCTCCCCTCCCCAAACTCTGGCTTCCATAGATTCCACTACAATGTCCCCAGGAATTTCCCAAACTGGAGCTGGCAACCCTAGTCAGGACTGGCCCCAATAAGTCCCCCACAAAGGCCAAAGTAGGCCTGGAAAGGGCCTCCTGCCTTTGCCTTTTTACTGATAGAACTAAGCTTGGTTGCCTAGCAACAGCCACTGAGATGAAAGTGAGCCACACAGCAGTTTTGGCACTTTTTTCAGACAGGGAATGGCAGTGGGTGGGGGAGAGGAGTGGACCCAGCCCCCAGCCAATGGCATGCAAGTACTCTTGAGTGGCAATTGATGGGCCAGTGACTGATGGAGCACACAGCATAGCCAATGGGAGAATTGGAAAGTGTGTTTCCTTTATCAGGATTCTGTAGTGTTTTATGCATAGTGCTTTAATAAACAAGCCATTTAATTCATATCAGTCAACCTTTAAAGCCTGTGTCTTCCTACAAGAAGTCAGTAATTACCCACCAGGATGAATCCTAATTAACAGCTGTTTCCTGATGGGGTGAAACCTAATTAACATCGCACAATGGTTATAGTGTTAGCCTGGAAACAAGGAGACCTGGGTTCAAATCCCCACTCACAATGCATGACCTTCAGCTGGTCACCCTCTCTCAGACTAGCCTACTTCACCAGGTTGTTTTGAAGATAAAGTGGAGGAGTGGAGGACCATAGGTGCACCCCTGAGCTCTTCAGAGAAGGGGGGGGGCATAAAATACAATGAATGGGAATATATTTCCTTCTGCAAGGTTCTTTCAGCATCTCGCGGGGAGGGCGGTATAAAAATGTTACCAATAAATAAATAAATAAATAAAATTCTCATATCCACTACCCCTGCCTAACTAGACTATCTCAGACTGCAGAAGGAAACTACAAAGGCACCCTCATGTTGGAATTCCCATGGAAAGTGGCCTGGCTGATGCAGTGCTCTCCTGTTTTTTAGAAGATGTTGCACCTTGTATCTGACTTGCAGAAAGGGTTCCAACAACCTGGAGGATACATCTCTCTGTAACAGATGCTTACTAGGACGTTGTTTGTGCCATGAAAAGTTTCAACAACCCATTTCCACATATTAAGCCTCTAAAGGGGCTGTCATGATCTTTTTACTGATAGAACTAAGCTTGGTTGCCTAGCAACAGCCACTGAGATGAAAGTGAGCCACACAGCAGTTTTGGCAGTTTTTTCAGACAGGGTCAGTCACAAGCTCTGGCACAGCTGTCCTTGAAAAAAAGCAGTTTGTGTCAGAGTTCTCTCAGCCCCACCCACCTCACAGGGTGTCTGTTGTGGGGAGGGGAAGGGAAAGGAGTTTGTAAGCCTCTCTGAGACTCCAAGTGAAGGGCGGGGTATAAATCCAATATCATCATCATCATCATCATCATCATCATCATCTTCTCCTCCTCCTCCTCCTCCTCCTCCCCTAAATTCAGAGTGGTGGCAGCGTCAGGTGACACCCCACCCGAGCCGTGACAGGGGCATATAATGTACTAGGTTCGGATGCGTGGCAAGTGATCAGCTCATATTTATTAGTGAAGTGGAGGCCCTCCTTGGTTGTCCTCTCCATTCTCTCAGCCTGACCATTGGTCGCAGGGTGGAAGGGGCCTGAGCAGATGTGTCGAATAGCATAGTACTTTACGAATTCTTGGGATTCTGCTGATGTGAAGGCTGTCCAGTTGTCCATCACGAGCGAGTTGGGGATACCATGTGTGCTGAAGATTCGCCACATAGCACGGATGGCGGTTCAGGGTCCAGTTGCCATCACGAGCGAGTCGGGGATACCATGTGTGCTGAAGATTCGCCACATAGCACGGATGGCGGCTCAGGACAACGTAGATGCAACCGGTACCACCTCTAGCCACTTGGTGAATGAATCTACTAAGATGAAGAAGAAAAAATCCAGGTGTAGCCAAGCCCAGGGTCTCCCAGAGGATTCCCACTGTTGGGCCCGTGCCCAGGGAGACTCTGGTCAGGATTCCTGGCACATCTGGCAACATTTGACACAGTTCTCGATCTCACTGTCCATGCCAGGCCACCAAATGTAGGTGCGGGCCAGGGCCTTCATCTGCATGATCCCTGGGTGCGTTTCATGGAGGGCCATGAGGACTCGCTGCCGTAGTGGTGCAGGAACTATTACCCAACTTCCCCATAATAGGCAGCCCTTGTAGGCTGACAGCTCATCTCAGCGGGAGGAGAATGCTGTGAACTGGTGGACCACCCCCTCCCCACTCAGTCCAGAACATGGGACAGCACGCGGTCTGGAGCAGTGTGGCGGGACACATCGGTTACCTGAATGGGCCTGTCTGGCAGGTCCTCAAGGAGCAGGATCTGGTGCATGGGCACTAGGTCTGGGTCGCCTGAAGGCAATGGCATGGCCCATCACCTTTCTGGGTCGGTGTTACAGCGCATACCGGTAGCCCATGAGGATCAACGGAGCACTCGGGGAGACAGCATCTGTGGTGTCTGGCGATCGGGGGCCAGGAGACCCAAGAGGGGTTTGTGGTCATGACGATGGTGAAGGGCCGGCCATACAGGTAGTTGTGGAACGTCTTGACCCCTGCCACGATTGCCAATGCCTCCTTGTCAATTTGAGTGTAGTTGCGCTCGGCCAAGGAGAGGGTCCTGGAGTAGTAGGTCACTGGAACCTCCCAGCCATCGGGCAGCTGGTGGCCTAGGATGGCACCGACCCCATACGACGAAGCGTCGCAGGCGAGGACCACAGGAAGTGCTTCATCGAAGTGTGCCAGGACCATGTTCGATGTCAGCAGGTCCTTGACGGCCCAGAACGTGGTGGCTTGCTTCGGGCCCCAGACCCACTTGACCTGTTTCTCAAGCAGACGGTGCAGGGGCTCCGCGATGGCGGCTTTGAGGGGCAAGAAAGAGTGGAAGAAGTTCAGTAGCCCCAAGAAAGTCTGGAGTTCAGCCTTGGACGAGGGCGGTGGAGCGTTGACAATGGTGTTGATTTTGTCCATTTTTAGATGAATGCCCTGTGCGTCGACCACAAATCCCAGGAACTCTACCCTTGGCACCCCCAGCAAACACTTCTCCCGTAGTTGTGGAACGTCTTGACCCCTGCCACGATTGCCAATGCCTCCTTGTCAATTTGAGTGTAGTTGCGCTCGGCCAAGGAGAGGATCCTGGAGTAGTAGGCCACTGGAACCTCCCAGTCATCGGGCAGCTGGTGGCCTAGGATGGCACCGACCCCATACGACGAAGCGTCGCAGGCGAGGACCACAGGAAGTGCTTCATCGAAGTGTGCCAGGACCATGTTCGATGTCAGCAGGTCCTTGACGGCCCAGAACGTGGTGGCTTGCTTCGGGCCCCAGACCCACTTGACCTGTTTCTCAAGCAGACGGTGCAGGGGCTCCGCGATGGCAGCTTTGAGGGGCAAGAAAGAGTGGTAGAAGTTCAGTAGCCCCAAGAAAGCCTGGAGTTCAGCCTTGGACGAGCGTTGACAATGGCGTTGATTTTGTCCATTGTTAGATGAATACCCTGTGCGTCGACCACAAATCCCAGGAACTCTACCCTTGGCACCCCCAGCAAACACTTCTCCCACTTCACCTTCAACCCAGCCATCTGGAATTGCTGTAGGATGGTGTGCAGTCTGTCGGTGAAACTCTTGGGCATGGGGGCAGCGATCAAAACATCGTCAAAGAATGCCTGGACCCCGGGATACCTTTAAGAAGACAATCCATTAGGTTTTGAAAGATCCCCAGGGCGATGCTCACCCCAAATTGCAAGCGCCGCACCCGAAAATCACCCCTATGTGTGACAATTGTTTGGGCCTCGGCCGTGGGATCATCGATGGGAAGCTGCTGGTATGCTTGGGCCAGGTCCAATTTACCAAAAATCTTTACACCTGCCAATGAGGCCAAAACATGACTGACTACCGGGACGGGGTATGCGTGGTCCTGGAGGGCTTTGTTGATAGTACACTTGTAGTCCGCGCTGATGCGAACATCTATGTTTGGCTTGACTGGCATTACTATGGGGGTCTCCCAGCGGGCAGGCGGCACCGGTTCCAGGACTCCTTGGGCCATGAAGCGCTCCAGTTCCCCATCAATCTTGGGCTTGAGGGCGAACGGGACACTCCTGGCCTTTAAACAGATGGGCCACACCGCCGGGTCAAGGTCAAGGGCCATGGCCGGACCTGTGTAGCAGCCCAGCGCGGCCCAGTGTACCATCGAAAACCGCTGGGAACTCATTGCACACATCCTGGGAATCGGATGGCCGCACGTGGTGCACCCCAGTTATTCCCAGTCCCAAAGGCACGAACCAGGACAGGCCCAGTAAGCTTGTGAGTCACACCTCGATCACTAGTAGGTCTAGTGCGCCCTTGAAATTTTTGTATTCCACCTGAAACTTGACCCACCCCTTCACGGCCACTGGGTTCTTTTGGAAGTCTTTAAGGGTGAACCCTGAGGTGGATTTCCACAGACAGGGGGCCCCATGAGGGCAGAGCTTAGCTAGCGTCTCTTCCGAGATGATGGAGGACGCTCGTGGCCTGCCTCACAGCTGGCACATTTCGTTTGGGCGTATGATTTGATGGGTGATTGGGCAGTTGATCTTGCTGGCAGAGCCATTACCATAGGAGTGCATGAGCTGCGATGGGCTGGATGCCGTAGTTGGAGGACCTCGTCATCATCTGAGAGGTTCGAGGCGGCGGAAGAGGCTGCTAGGTGGACTGAAGATGGTGGTAGACGGTCCCAGTGAGACCTCTCAAATGCAGTGGCCACGTGGAGTGCCGTCGGCCATCCCAATCAGTTTGTGGCAGAGCTTGTGGTCTCAGACGCCACAGACGAATTGTGTGAGGATGATGTCCTTCACGTCCTGAAACTCACAGTCGATTGCAAGTTGGCAAAGCTCGGCCATGTAAACGGTGGCCGCTTCTCCCGGCTTTTGGGTGCGCGCTAGCAAATATATGCACTTGGCCATCTTGGTCGGTTTCGGCACAAAGTAGCCTGTGAGGACCTTGATGATGTCATCATACGGGGTCTCGGCCAACTTCTTTGGAGCAAGAAGGCCCTGGGCTAGGCGAATGGTGGCCACTCCACATGTGCTTAGGAGTAGAGCCTGTTTCTTGCCTGCATCGGTGATCTCCTGGTAGGCAAAGAAGTTGGTGAGCTGCTCCACCCACGCTTCCCAGAACTCAGGTTGTGCAGGATTGAAGACCTCAAGGTGTCCCGATGCAGCAGCCATGACTCTCGAGCGAAGCGGGGAGCGGTGTCCTGGAGAGCGGTGCACAGTGTGGTGCTGCTCGTGAGCAAAGCAGGGTGCAGCAGCTTCTGATGAATCGGTGCTCGGCGGGACGAAGAGTCAGGCTCGCTCATCGGGCTCCCATCCTCGTCGCCAGTATAATGTACTGGGTTCAGACATTTAGCAAGTGATCAGCTCATATTTATTAGTGAAGTTCAGCTCAACTAAAGACAAACTAACCGGGTTCGAACCCTGCTTTTATCCATGCACCACACCACACCCAACACACACCCCACTCCCGTGATTGGCTATTTACAGTGTAAGAGTCCATCACAGGTCAACCTTAGGATCCAGGCAAACCTATTGGTCTGCACTAGGATCCGAGTCGGCTATTGTTCTAAATCCTGAAGGTGCACTAAACCGTATGGCTTCCTTAGCACTACGTATCCAGACAAATCCATATCAATACATAACAGGGCAGAACGTTTTTTTCCTCCAAATTATTGGCAGCTCTACTTGTAGAAAATTAGCCAATATGAAAAGCAAAGTGACTTATCCTCACCTGCTCTTCATCTTTAACATTGTAGTTGCTATGGGCAGGTTATGGGCATTGAAAGACCTACTTCTGCCTTTTCTTCTTGTGTATACCATTACATACAACACTCGTGATTATAATTTTTAATTGCTTTTCATTTCAGTTGCTGTGGTTTTATACAATCGATTTTGCTTCTTTAAAATGTCTGTTACGGCAAACAGAGTGTTGTATAATTGACTTCAGCCTTCAAATTTTTGCCCTGTATTCTTCCAGAGCAGTGGGCATTGTCAACAACGGGATCCAGATTTTGCAGCAGGAGGAGTTATTCTAATTAGTCTGGTTGTTCTTCTTTCCTGCCTGGCCTGTTTCATCTACCCAGTTTTTCACCGTTTGCTGCACACAGCGGCTACAATGGTTTGGCTCAGCCAGGAGAGGGGGCGGAAGGACTGTGCAGAGAGGCCAGCCAGCTGTGACCTGAGCCCAGGAGACGTCGTATTTTAGCCTTGTGACACATTTCACCCTCTCGTGACCTGGTGCCTGTGCTGCTGCACAGACTGGGTCTTAAACGGCAGAGGAGCCATTTGTCACTCAGAAGAGGGAGGGGGAGGGGCAGGAAGGCAAAAGGAACAGCCAGGGCACTGTTGCAAGGAAGACATCGACTTCAGCATTTGGTAGAATATAAAATAGTGGGAATGGAGAGAGCTGAGAGCAAACTGTGAGGGTGTTTTCATACTTGTTTGGCTATAGAAACCATTACCTCCTCCCCACCTCTCCACAGAAGCATAGCTTTAAATATGCATATTCAATCCCATCCATGTAAATTGTCCGCTAACGTGTCAAATATTACAATTCTGTCAACGCTGTTTTGAAACACTGACCTGGGGTTATGTGAGTTGAGCTATAAGGGAATATCGCAAGGGCACAGTTTTGGATGGATATATGTTAACAAGAACCTGAGTCTTGCAAAAGTATGTGATTGGAGGCTGAAGGAGGATGGCACTAGCAGCAGGCCAAGGCCACCCCAGTAACAGGGCCGGAGCTTGCTTAGCTTTGCTAACAGAGGGGCCTGGTTCCTGGAAGAATCTGCTGAGTCCTCTTCTCCCCTGCGTTCCTCCAACGCTCTCGGAGGAAACGGAGGGCTTTTGGGATGTTTAATCTGGATGGCAGATCCCAATACCAGAGTTCTCCCCTTTTCTCAAAGTGCTGGTTCTTCCTAGTTTCTGCTGCCCTCTGCCCTTATATCCTGGCCACATCCCCTCTGCCCTTCATCTCACTCAGATCTGGGCCTCCGTGTGACTGGTCATGGATCATGAAGTAAACTCTTCCTGTTAACCCTGCTGGGATGGATTTTCTTACTGCTTCCTGCCAGCTGTGGCTTCCTCAGCCAGCCACCCAGTTCTCCCAACTGCTTCACTTGCCTTCAGCTCTCTCTTTGAACTCAGGCGGCAAACAGTAATTCAGTAGGTGAAACTTTTCTAGGCATGCGAATCCACCTGTTAAATTTCTGCTTGTCACTTGGCCGTTCAAGGCTCAGAAACCCTGTAAGGAGAAAAGGGTGGTAACCCTATGACCCCTACCTCCATTTTTCAAAAGGGTTGGTGTGCACTCACATTCCTTAAAAGAGCTAATATAATGCAGTAGCTACAAAATGGGTCTCTGTCCATTCAAGTCTCACCCTTGTCCTGAACTTTGAGGCTTTCGGTAAGCCATTCTCTCTTAGGCTGTGTTCTTCCCTGTCTCCAACTGTTTGGTTTCTTTTTGGATGCGAAGTCATAGCCAGTAGGGTTTTCAAGGCAAGAGACAAGCAGAGGTGGTTTGCCATGGTGTGCCTCTGCATAGCAACCCTAGACTTCCTAGAGAGCCAGTTTGGTGTAGTGGTTAAGTGCGCGGACTCTAATCTGGGAGAACCGGGTTTGATTCCCCACTCCTCCACTTGCACCTGGCTGGATGACCTTGGGCAAGCCGTAGTTCTGATAAGAGCTGTTCTTGAAAAAGAGCAGTTTCTGTCAAGAGCTCTCTCAGCCCCACCTACCTCACAGGGTGTCTGTTGTGGGGAGGGGAAGGGAAAGGAGTTTGTAAGCCGCTCTGAGACACCTTTGGGTAGTGAAGGGCGGGGTATAAATCCAATCTCCTCCTCCTCCTCCTCCTTCTTCTTCCTTGGTGGTCTCCCATCCAAGTACTAATCAGGGCTGACCCTGCTCAGCTTCTGAGATGTGATGAGACTGGGCTGGCTTGAGCTAT